GAGCATCGTTGTTCAATACTTCCCATGACTACTCAGTTCAGGACCCAGCCCAGGCCAGCAGCGATTCCAGACACTTCCAGAGCTACAATTTCATCCCTAGCTGCTGCACCCTCGGTTGCTCCTACCGTTTCTACTCCTCCACCAGTCCCGTAGATTTCTTCCGAGGCATTTGCAGATGCACTTATCTCTACCCCGACATCGACGCACACCGGCGCTGCCAGTCAGAGGACTTCACCTCCAGGGGATGTCGGAGATTGAGCCTAGAGAGACGTTTAGCTCTATACTTATTCGAACTTTTTGGTACTTGCTACCAAAGGGGGAGAATTAGTATAGATCATTAGGGCTTTGAGAGAGCGAGTGCTTTGCTTTTTCTCGTGTGGATTTTCATTCGTGTGATACTTTTGTTCGTTTCTTGTTTGGTACTTTGTTTATTCATGGTTGATCATACCGTACTTTGATGATGCTATGCTTATATATTCATTCATATGCTCCATGTATGATCAGTCACTTGTTTGTTTGGTGACGAGTGCATACGTTGTTGCAATCATATCATTTTGAGAGCTCCACCAAGATGTATGTGACATGGAAGAGTAACCCATGATCCTAACCGATTGTACATTTGCATTCAAACGCAAATTTTAAATAATGCACAAATTTAGGGGGAGCTCTTGCTTATCATATACTTCTAAAAGCGACATTGCATTTCATTCATTATATCATTTGTTGAAGCTTTGATCTACATGTTGTCATCAGTTACCAAAAAGGGGGAGATTGAAAGTGCAACTAATCCCCAGGTGTTTTGGTGATTAATAACAACATATACATCATTGATATAATATTTATTGCAAATAGATTTCAAAAAAAGATCAATGATTGGTATGGCAAGGACTAATGGATGTGGACCCCTCAAAATGTCAAAGACAAGAATTGGCTACTCCAAGATTCTACATTTTTGGTTTAGTTACCCAAGATCACATTGAGTCCCTTAGGAAAGCCAATACTATTAAAAGGGGATGATGTATTGTTGATGAGGTTGTTGCTTAGTGATATTGCTCCAAAAACCCTCAATCATTTTCTCAAAACACATATGTCCAAAACCCTAATTCCCTATCTCGGTCCCACCGAAATCTCCCATCCGAACCCACCAAGATAACCACTATCATTGCCACTACCACACCCTAGCAATTCGGTTTGACCGAAAAGGATTTCGGTCCCATGGAGATGGCATTGCCAAGTTTCTGTGATAATATTGTTTCACTTCAGAATCACCGAGTTGAGACAGTCAGAAATTCCGAGACCGAGTTCTTCCCTAGCCATTGCACTTCGGTCCCACCGAGTTGTCACTTCGTTCCCACTGAAAAGCCCAACATTCATATCTTTTACACTAATCGGTCTCACCGAGTTTTACACTAATCGGATTTTGGGTGAAGGCGTGCACCCCATCTACTCTCTATGAGAGCCATCAGAACGAAACACAACTTTCACCATTCATTTTCTGAGATAGAACCACCTACTCATGTGTTGAGATCAAGAGATTCCATTCCTACCATTTGAACCTTGATTTCTGGCCTAATCAAGTTGCTTTCCACTACAATCCTTCTCCTACCCAAGCCAAATCTGTGAGAGAGATATTGAGTGTTGAGGAGACTATCATTTGAAGCACAAGAGCAAGGAGTTCATCACCAACACAACATCTATTACCTTTTGGAGAGTGGTGTCTCCTAGATTGGTTAGGTGTCACTTGGGAGCCTCTAAGATCATGTGGAGTTGAAACAAGAAGTTTGTAAGGGTAAGAAAATCACCTACTTCATGAAGATCTACCCGAGTGAGAGTCCTTTGTGGACGTAAGCCATGGTGGAATAGACAAGGTTGCTTCTACATGGACCCTTCGTGGGTGGAGCCCTCCATGGACTCGCGCATCCCTTAACCTCTTTTGGTTGAAGTCTCCATCACCGTGGACATACGATAGCACCACCTATGGGAACCACGCCAAAAATCATCATGTCCTCATTGTGTTTGAAATCTCCAATCCCTCCTTTACATTCATATGCAAAGTCTTTACTTTCCGCTGCACAACTCTTAGACTTGCATGCGTAGGGTGTATTTGACTTGGTAGAATTGCTAAAACTTGCCCACAACTAAAATTAGGAAAACTATAAGTTTTTATTTGGTCAAGTAGTCTAATCACGCCCCTCTAGACATACTTTCGATCCTACAACCTGATCGGTGATCTTTTGAGGGATCAAATTTGCCAAGTCCGGCCGTAGATGCTCTAAGAGAAACTCCAACGCGCCAACCCAATTCGTCTGTGCGTGTCCATTTTGGTCGAAATGGACAAAAAAGTTAGCCCAACACGGTGACCCAAACGGATGCGCATCCGCTTTTTGTCCGCCGCGCGACCCATTCTCGGCCCAAATTTGTGCCTCGTTTGCGTCGGCGCGGACACAAAATGGACGCACACGATGCCCGCTACTCCCCTGGTCCGCCAATCGGTGGCACATAACCATTCCATCTTCCTCCCATCGACAGCTAGCACAACTACTCGCCCACCCCCGTGTCGCTGCTACCTAGTTCCGGTGCCCCAGGCCAGCCGTCCGCACCCACGACCCCCAACACAACACGCCTCCCATCGCCCCCTCATCATCGCCACCGCCACTGCGGCACCCCCGATGTCGCCGCCACCACAACCCACCCGCCGCCTGTAGTACCGAAGCGCGGGGTGCCTCGCTCGCCGGACGCCCACACGCTCGCCGGACACCGACGGACCTGCTACATGGTCCAGGGAAGGCACGAGGCTCTTCACCGGCCAGCTTCTTCCATGACGCTCGCAAGCTGTGCGACGGGTTGCTCGCAAGGTACCAATGGACTCCACCGATGAGTTCTTTCTCCACAATTTCATTTGTGACTTGGATGATTCTTCATTCGACGATGAGGAGTTTGTGGCTACTGTGTTGCTCGTCCATAACCATCTTAGTAGGCAACGGCCGATGTTTAGGGGCTTGATCCCGGGACACACTTCGGCGTTGAATCACATTCGACAGAGCGACCAGTTCCTACTCTGGAAAAACTACTTCGAGACCCCCAACCCGCTCTTCAAACACCACCTATTCTGTCGTCGTTTCCGTAAGGCTAGGCATGTGTTCAACCGTATTCAGGAGGGGGAGGTGTGGTACGATAAGTATTTCGAGTGCAAAGAGGATGCCCTTGAAAAGATTGGCTTCTCCTCTTATCAGAAATGCACTGCAACTATTTGGATGCTTACATACGGAGTTCCGGTGATCTCATTGATGAGTATCTCTGAATGAGCGAGTTGACGTGCCTAGAACCCATGTATAAGTTCTGCAAGGCTGTAATAGCAATGTTTAGCCCGGAGTACTTGAGAGAGCCAAATGCGGTAGATACAACTCGGTTGTTGGTGATGAATGCCAGCCGGAGATTTTCGGGGATGCTTGGTAGCATAGATTATATGCACTGGGAGTGCAACACTTGCCCTTCAACTTGGCAGGGGCAGTATAGGGGTCATGTCAAAGCTTACACCGTCATACTTGAGGACGTGGCCTCACAAGATCTCTAGATTTGGCACTTTTTCTTTGGCATGGTCGGATCTCACAATGATATCAATGTTTGCAAAAAGACACACGACAGGACAGTTACAAGGATGAAAATATGTCCACACGCTGGATGCACGGCCGGCTCAAACGTAAGAGAAAAAGGATGAATGAGCGGGCAACACGACTCAAACAGAAAAAGCGCGTCCCTTTGTCGACGCGTTGGAGTTGCTCCAATGCCCACGCTTTTTTGCCGAGCAATAACAACACATACCAAAAGGAAAAAAGAAGAGAGAAAGAACGAAGTGCAATATCGTTGACAGAAAATCGTCTTCCTCATCGCCAGCACGGCTGAAACGCCCTTCGCTGTCAAAAAAGAAAGCTCGCCTAGTCCCCTCGTTCCGCCGAACTATGCCTGGAGATCTCCCTCGTGGGCATTCTTTCTCGTCCTCTCTATTGATAGCGAGTGAAGACCTACCCGGACGCGATTCTTCTTCTTGGTAAGGAAGCCCTATCTTGCTCGGATTGTTCTTCGGCCTTCACTAGCCTTCTCTTCGATCTGATTATTCTATTGCAGCCAGATCTTTCTCCCTGACCCCATTCAGTTGATAGGAGAGCACCCTTCGGTAATTATTAAGGAATTTGTTCAGATAGTGACTTGTTTGTTTTGCTTGCTCCTTCTCTGAAACCTGAATCCCATGCATACGTAACTTAGGTCTGATGCACATATGTAACTCTGATGCTCTGCTTCAAATTCTTCTTTAGCTCTCCTATTTGTTAGTTCGATGCCATTCACTGATTAAAATCTTTACATCATGTTGCTGGTCATTTAGGCAGTTTCACTTAAGTATTGAGTTGTACGCTAATGTATAAGAGACTGCAATCTTTTTGAATTTACTGTTGAACTGTGCCGAAGAAACCCAACTCACTGCTTGCACATTAATAGTTATATCAAATCTAGGACGGTCTCAGTTTGCAATATAGGTGATTTTGATTAAAGTGCAATCTGTGTGTTTACGGGCAGGTTTGTATCGTTTAGAAGTTCTCAAATGTGCAATCAGTATTGACTGCTCAATAGTTCATCTGAATTACTTTCTTGCGTTGGATTTCAGGCTGAAGAAGTAGTGCCAAATTCTACATTCGTATTTGGTATTATATAAGACGTATTAGTAGTGGAATGATCCTTTGGGATAATGGAAGGCAATAACCTGCCACCTAGAAACTTTATGCAAGGAGCAACTTATGGCAGTTCAGACTTGCACCGGAATCCCATGCAAATGCACGGTCCAAGCTCCGGTAATCAGGGCTTCAACCACTCTCAGATACCTGGCAAATTCCCCATGCCTATGAACCAGGTTACAAATTCTGACCACTTGTCGGAATTTCAATTCAGAGAACAAAGGAAGGTGATCACCACCAGGTCCACCACCACCACTATCACAAAAGGACTCCATGAGCGATGATGAGGAGCATGGTCTGAACGAGGATACCACTGATAGCCACAGCGGCAAGGGAAAGAAGGGCTCAACATGGCAGCGGATGAAGTGGACCGATTCAATGGTTAAGCTTTTAGTTACTTTAGCGTCCTACACTGGTGAGGATCCAGGAGCTGATTTAGGATGTGGAAGGAGGAACTGTGCAATGGTGCATAAGAAAGGCAAGTGGAAGGCAATATCAAAGGTGATGGGCGAGCGAGGTTGCAATGTGTCACCGCAGCAGTGCGAGGATAAGTTCAATGACCTCAATAAGAGATACAAAAGGCTTACAGATATCCTTGGTCGGGGTAGAACTTGCAAGGTTGTGGAGAATCCAGCACTTCTGGATCGCATGGATAATCTCTCTGACAAGTTGAAAGATGACGCAAGGAAGACACTGAGCTCAAGGCACTTATTCTATGAGGAGATGTGCTCCTACCATAATAATAACCGGATTAGTTTGCCTGAAGATCCTGCACTTCAGCATTCACTGCAGTTTGCTCTTAGGTGCAAAGAGGAAAATGATATGATGCAAGGAGCAAGTGGAGATGCCGATGAAGATGACCAGAGTTCAGACTCTGATTATGAGGAAGATAATGATGAGGACCATCATGTGGCACATAGCAATAAAGGGGGCTTACCCATGCAAAAGAAGATGCGGTATACAGCAGATCACGAGGATGCTAGTTTCGGGAACTCTTTGAGTGCACACGAATGTAGCCGGAGGACTAATCCCCATGGAATCGCACTAGATATCAACGAAGTTGTTCCAGATGGAACGAGCTTGGCTTTGACATAGAAGGACTTAGTATTGCAATCTGCAGAGCTTGAAAAACAATGCTTGAAAATCTAAAATGAGGCGCTGGAGCTTGCAGAACAACGCCTCAAGTGGGAACTATCCAGTAAAATTAAGGACAAGGAACTGGAAAGGATGAGGTCAGATAACGAACATATGAAGATTGAGATTAAACGCTTAGAACTGGAGGTAAGGCGCAAAGAGTTAGAGCTTGAATTCAAGCTGAAAGGAAATGGCAGTCATTCATGACATTTATTTAGGCGATCAAGATTAGCCTGTAAGATGGTAAGCTAAGAATACTATTCTTGCTTAAGGAGCCTTCTAGTTCACTGGTGCAAACTTTTCCGTTCAGCAAGTCTGGTATTTATATGCTTCTAGGTGGTGTTTGCTCACGGATGATCACTTTGTTTCATTTGTTTTTGTATTTTAACCTATAATTTTTTGAAAGTTTGATAACAGCTTGCAATTTTCGTTCTTGCTTAGGGAGCCTTCTAGTTCTAACTAATGCGCATTAGGAATGTAAATTGGTTGCATCATTAGTTTTTCGCAAGTTTTTTTAAGCGCTAGGCGCTGAGCGAGCGGTGTGCCTCTGCTTAGTGCAATGATAGCTTAAGCGGCGCTTGAGCGTTTTGTACGGACATCGACATGAACAGGGGACACCCAGAAATCAATTTTTAAAGCATGTAAGGCCGCCTAGCTCTCTGCTCTCTCTCTCTCTCCTCTGTCTAACCCTAGCCTAACATCCCTTCACCTCTCTTTTGCCCCCAAATTGGTGCCGCTACTACTTGCATGTCCTCGACTAGCCGCTGCTTAGTTTCTGCTTAGTTGGCGCCGCATCCCTGAGTGTACGCCACGCTCTTAGGCCCCTCCCAGTGCTCCACATTGTACAGGTGTTAAGCCTTTCACGTAGGCAAAAAATCTGATGTGGCAAGTTATTTAAAAGGAGAGAAATGAGTGTGGTGATCCCAAGAAAAAAAATGCTATGCGTGTGAACCTAGGCAAAACATTTAAAGGAAGGAATCCCACCAATACATGAAGAGCTTTAGTTGCTAAATCATTAAATGAAACAAGCTTAGCAACCATAAGCTAAGTGCATATGCATTGGGGAGTATAGTTGCTAAGCTATTTAATGTGCTTAGACCCCTCCCAATGCTTCACCTTGTACAGGTGCTAAGCCTTTCACGTAGGCAAAAAATATGATGTGGCAAGTTATTTAAGAGGAGAGAGATGAGTGTTGTCGGTTTACGGGTTCCACAAACCCTTGAGAGGTTCGAACTCTGGGATGCGTGCGAAGATCTCAACCAACCCAGCCTGCCCATTTGCGATCCTCCTAAGCCTAGCGTGACGAGTTCAAAGAAACAAACAGGCACATCAGTTTATCCTGGTTTAGGTCACCTTGCGGTGTAATATCCTACTCCAGCGTTTTGGTGGATTGCCTCGGAGGGCTGAGGATGAACTAGTACAGGGGATGAACTGGCCTCAGGAGGTGAGGTGTTCTTGAGCTCGAGGGAGCTGATGGGATGTGAACTGGATGCCCTCTATGGTTGTGGCTAAGTCATAGTTATAGTGGCCTTGGTCCTCTTCCCAAATTTTGGCGGGAAGGGATCCCATAACGGCCGAATTTGAAAGGGGACAAGTAGTACAACTTATCCTGACAAAAGTAGTCTTCGCCTGCGAAAAGCCTCTAGTCGTGACGCTGCGGTGGGCTCGGGGATGACCTCCGTCCTGCCGTCCTGGCGGTCTTGGTCTTGTTGCACCAGAATGAAAACCTTTGGCTGATTCCTCGGGACTCTGCGCCTGTGGCTTGCCTCCCTTGCACTGAAGAGGTAACCTGCGCTTTGTGCCCGTTGGCGCCCACCTGGCGCCCGCCTGACCTTGGTCATCATGGCTCACGTCAGCTGATCCTCGTGAGGTAAACCTTGCATAGAACCCTCTGCCCCTCGGGAGCCAGCCTAAGGAGGCCGATCCCCAAGGGAGTCTTGGCGTCGTCCGCCTCATGAGGCTTGGCCCCTCGCGAGGGTCTTGAGTTGTTGATGATGAAGCTGGGCCGTACCAGGCCGTTGATGGAGCCATGCGGTGGGCCGCAGGGCCCATCGCAGGCAGGGCTGGATACCCCCATATCCAGAACGCCGACAATAGCCCCCGACCCAAGGCGCGCTCGGAATTGGTTTCCAGGCGAAGCCAAAGGGCAAGTGCGGAGCGCCGCGGGCCCTAACAGCCTACGGCCTTGATGACACGTGGTGATTGATGGGACGTGGGGGACTCCACTTCCCCATGCTAGCTCGGCAAATGTTTCCGTATGACAAAAAGGGGTGACATCTGCCGCCAGGCTTTCATTGCCTCTTCTTCATCTCGCTCTAGATCCCCTTCTCCCAGTAGCGGAAGAACTCACCAGATCTGCCGATTTTCTCCTCCAATCCTTCGCCCAATGGCCGCTGAGAAGACCACGGCCTCAGCCCCGGCTGCCGGCTCCGCCTGGTATGAGTCGGTGCTGCTCGTGCCCTCCGTGGCCGGGGAGAAGCTCCAGACCGCGCTCCTCCTGATGGCGAGCGAGGACAACGAATGGAAGGGGACGGCGCTCCAGGTCGCTGCCGCTGTGCCGGAGCCCGCGAACAGTACTTTCTTCCCTTTCTTCCTGCACAACATCTACTCGGGGCTGGTGCCCCCATTCTCCCGCTTCTTCTATGCCGTTCTTCACCATTATGGCCTCCACGCGCTCCACATTCATCCCAACTCCATCCTCCTCCTGTCCATTTTCGGCTTTTACTGCAAGGTGTTCGTGGGGGTGATGCCCTCCGTCTCCATGCTTCGCCACCTCTTCTTCCTCCGCATGACTGGCGACCATACCGTTGGGTGCATTGGCTTCGTCATGGCGCGGGGCGGTAACGCGATCTGCCGCGCCGGGAAGGTGGAGGATGCCCTGAAGAGGTGGGTTCTGATGGATGCCAAGTGCTCCCAGGACTTGCTGGAGCTGCCAACCGAGCTCCCCTCCTCCGGGAAGGGGTGGTACTCTGAGAAGATCGCCAACCCTTCCCTGAAGCCATTGGTGAAGAAGATGGAGGAGGACCTGAAGAGCGAGAAGCTGACGGGGGCCATGTTCATGAAGGAGTTCTTGACGTAGCGCATAGCGCCGCTCCAAGATTGCTCTCGCCCCCTGTGGAAGCTTGGGGGCGTTGACAACAAGATCCGCCTGCGTCAAGACGCCCTTCCCGAGGAGGAGTTGAGCAAGGTGTTGCTTTACTTGACTGGGAAGGACCCGAGCAATCCTCCGGAGGACTGGCTCCCGTTGTATTGCCGAGTCGACGGGAAAGAGGTTGCTGCTGCCATGCCGGTCTTTGACGAGTTTGGGCTCGTGCGGGAGGGGCCTCCCCCGCCGCCTACATCCTTGGTAGACCTGTCATCCGGCGACCAATCATCCGAGGCCACAGAGGACGAGGTTGTGGAGGAATCCTCTGCCTCGCGGCAGAGGGAGCTCCTCTGCGACTTCCCTGACGATGATGATGAAGATGCGCCTCTGGTGGTGGAGGTGGATCGCTCCACTAGGGTCACCACAAGATTCGGGGTGGCCTCGGATACGTCTCGAACGTATCTATAATTTTTGATTGTTCCATGCTATTATATTACCCATTTTCGATGTTTATGGGCTTTACTTTACACATTTATATCATTTTTGGGACTAACCTACTAACCGGAGGCCCATCCCGTATTGCTGTCTTTTTGCCTATTTCAGTGTTTCGAAGAAAATGAATATCAAACGGAGTCCAAACGGAATGAAACCTTCAAGAGCGTGATTTTTGGAACAAACGGGATCCAGAGGACTTGGAGTGGAAGTCAAGAAACAAGCGAGGTGGCCACGAGGGTGCCCGGCGCGCCCCCTAGGGCTGGGCGCGCCCCCCACCCTCGTGAGCCCCTTGGGCATCCACCGACCTACTTCTTCCTCCTATATATAACCATGTACCCTGAAAACATCAGAAGCGACCTCGAAAAACTATTTCCACCGCCGTAACCTTCTGTATCCACGAGATGCCATCTTGGAGCCTTCGCCGGCGCTCCACCGGAGGGGGAATCGACCACGGAGGGCCTCTACATCATCTCCAGGGCCTCTTCAGTGAGTTGTGAGTTTTTTACCACATACCTTCGGGTCCATAGTTATTAGCTAGATGGCTTCTTCTCTCTCTTTGAATCTCAATACAATGTTCTCCTCGATCTTCTTGGAGATCTATTCGATGTAACTCTTTTTGCGGTGTGTTTGTCGAGATCCGATGAATTGTGGGTTTATGATCAAGTTTATCTATGAGAAATATTTGAATCTCCTCTGAATTCCTTTATGTGTGATTAAGTTATTTTTTCAAGTCTCTTCGAATTATCAGTTTGGTTTGTCCTACTAGATTGATCTTTCTTGCAATGGGAGAAGTGCTTAGCTTTGGGTTCAATCTTGTGGTGTCCTTTCCCAGTGACAACAGGGGCAGCAAGGCACGTATTGTATCGTTGCCATCGAGGATAAAAAGATGGGGTTTATATCATATTGCATGAGTTTATCCCTCTTCATCATGTCATCTTTCTTAATGCGTTACTCTGTTCTTTATGAACTTAATACTCTAGATGCATGCTGGATAGCGGTTGATGTGTGGAGTAATAATAGTAGATGCATGAAGGAGTTGGTCTACTTGTCACGGACGTGATGCCTATATACATGATCATGCCTAGATAATCTCATAATTATTTGCTTTTTTATCAATTGCTCGACAGTAATTTGTTCACCCACCGTAATACTTATACTATCTTGAGAGAAGCCACTAGTGAAACCTATGGCCCCCGGGTCTATCTTTTATAATATAAGCTTTCAACCTACTTTTATTTGCATCTTTACTTTTCGCATCTATATTATAAAATACCAAAAATATATTTATCTTATCATACTATCTCTATCAGATCTCACTTTCACAAGTGGCCGTGAAGGGATTGACAACCCCTTTATTGCGTTGGTTGCGAGTTCTTTGTTT